AAAAAAAAAAAAAAAAAAAAAAAAAAAAAAGCGATGAAATAAAAAGAAAGCGAAGGAAAATGAAAACAAATAATGCAATCAAACAGTCACTGTTTTTTATCCCATTTTTATTCACCTCCTATCCCCTCCCTTACCACCCCCCCCCTTCCCCCTCTGATCCCCCACCGCCCCAAATCCTTTATACCCGGCAATTCTAATCAACCTTAAAATTTGCAATCATCTTCAACAGCAACAGCAGCAACAATAAAGACTGCAAAAATGGCATTAGTGAATAAAAACTTCAAAAAGAATAAAACGAGTTAGATAATTAAGATGAAACTTTCGTCATACCCGTCGCCATCATCGTTATCAACAGTGGGGAAAAAAAAAACCACAACACGATAACCAATTAGCCGATGTTTATCCCGTAAAAACTGGGGCAAGATCAAGTTGAAAAAAAAAAAAAAAAGAAAATGAAATAATTGCGAAAAACGTGAATAACAAATAATAAAGCAACATATATAGAGATATGCATAAAAGTTGAGAAAAGCATAAATTTAGGTTAACTTTTTTTTTTTTTTTCAAAAGTGCTTTCCCTTAGCTTCACTATTTGGTTGCGGCTCCCCTTTTTTACTGTCCCCACCATCTTCTCCCCATCGGCTTTTCCTCCATCTCTCATCACTTATTTTTGTCCATTTTTTCTTTTCAGTTAGGCAGGAAATTTGAAAAAAAAAAATAAAAAATAAAGCCAAATGACCAAAGCCTAGCAATGTGCCGATTTTTTGCTACATTTTTATTTATTTTAAAGCTATTCCGATCAATGGACAGAAAAAAAAAATTTGTCGCCATTGATTTTTGTCATCGTTTTCTTCTTCTGCTTCTTCTTCTTCTTCTTTTTCTTCTTCTTCTTCTTCTTCTTCTCCTTCTCCTTCACCTTCACCTTCACCTTCACCTTCACCTTCACCTTCACCTTCAGCTTCAATTTTTAACCTCGATAATACTTGTGCTACACTAAAAAATTAAAAGCCAAGAAAAAAAAAAACAAAAAAGCAGAAATATTTTTGTAGCGTT